GGCGTCCCAGGCGTCGCGAGCTTTGCTCCCGGCTCTGCGCTGCCCGCTCCTGCGTCCAGCGGCAACGTCGACCTGAGCGCTCTTCGGCCCGTCAACTCGGGAACCATGAATTTCGAAGATGTCATCTCCAAGGCGAGGGCCTTTGCGACCGAGAAGGGCATCACGCCCTACGACCGTCCGCTCGTCTACGGAAACGAATCCAGAGGCTCCGACAGATCTTTCCGCCGATCCAGGTCTCGATCTCCTCCCCGAGGCGGCGGTGACTATCATACTGGCGGCTCATACCGGGACGACCGTCGTGGAGGCCAAGGCCGAGATTATGGCCGCGACCGTTCCTACTCCCCTCCGTCACGTGGCCGCACCTTTTCGCCTCGCGGAGGCGGCGGCCGAGAGAGATCCCCTCTCCGAGGCGGAGACGACAACTCTGAGACGATCCAGATCGAGTCCAGCCTCGTTGGCCTCATCATCGGCCGGCAGGGCGAGAACCTGCGGAGGATCGAAGCCGACACCAACTGCCGTGTCCAGTTCCTGGCGGCCACCGATGGCGGCCCCTTCCGCCAGTGCAAAATCACCGGCCCACGGGCTCGTCGTGCCGAAGTCAAGACGGCCATCAACCGAATCATTGAGGACAGCGGAATGGGCGCGCTGAACCGCGCTCAGGAAAAGCCTCGCGACCCTGCCCGAGGTGGAGCAGCGGCCCTGAGGGATGGCGAGGACCATATGCAAATCATGGTCCCTGATCGCACTGTCGGCCTCATCATCGGACGTGGAGGCGAGACTATTCGAGATCTTCAAGAACGATCCGGCTGCCATATCAACATCGTGGGCGAGTCGAAGAGCGTCAACGGCCTGCGGCCTGTCAACCTCATTGGCAGCCGCGAAGCGGCCGCCCGAGCCAAGGACTTCATCATGGAAATTGTCGACAGCGATAGCCGAGGCGACGGCCCGGCTTCTGGTACCAAGAAACCCACGGGTCCTCCTCGCAACGACGGACCACCGAGGGACTACGGTGGTGGCGGCGGCGGCGGTCCCGACAAGATCAACGATGCGATTTACGTGCCATCAGATGCGGTAGGCATGATTATCGGCAAAGGAGGCGAGACCATCAGGGAGATGCAGAACTCGACCGGTTGCAAGATCAACGTGGCGCAGTCATCTGGCCCTGGTGAAGTTCAGCGCGAGATCGCGCTCATTGGAAGCCGTGACAG